TTGTCACCAAACTAATAGTCATTGGGTTTCTGCAGACATCTCTAAGAGCGTGGAACTAATGGCTAACAAGTCTGATGCTAGTTTAGATCTGTTGTCTTACTAGAGTGAGGTCTTATGGATAGATGTAAAATGAAATTGAAAAAAATTATGTCTTTACTTGGTATGACTCTTGATATTCTCACTCTTACCATCTCTTGCCATGAAAATAATAAAGCCCCAAAGATACCTAGTAGTTGTTGTCATGCTACTGGAAAATTTAGCATTTGTAAAACCCTATAGCAGAGACATGCAATACTTACAGAACTGCAGTCCTTATGGCAGCTCGGTCTCTGACACCCACTGGTGACTGTGATCCGTTGGTCACTTACAGTGACGCAATTTCACAAAGTTTGAAACCATTCATCGAAAGTCAGGTGATGCTGGGTGGAGCTGAGAGGAGTCACTGGTCTCCTGGCAGAGCGTGAGCCACGACTGGTGCTTTGCTTCATTTTCATGCTGGTTGTTTCTGAAGAAGACCCACCCGTGTTGTGCTAACCCTCGCTAGCTCCCCTCCTGGCTTAGGGAAACCAGCTGGAAGACATGAACAGCATTTATGCTAAATGGTAGACACATGCTTAGATTGTGTCATTATCGTTTTATGTCTAAATGTGGCACCCAATCTAAGTGCTACTGTATCTTGTGTTACTTGAACAAAACCAAGTGATGGAACTAAAGCTGAACACAGACACAGGCAAGACCAGATGGCTTTCAAAGTAAATCCGTGATCCTAAATCTACCTGAAAGCTTGCTTTAGAAGAGTACCCTGACTTCTAAATGGGTTGCTCCTACTAAAGTCATTGTGAAGAAGTAGTGGATGAGTGGATTTGAAAATCAGGCCTCTCTTCATAGGAGGCATTTTAACCTGGATTTATGTTCCCGGTCTTCGAAATTTTGGTCAGCTGAACTTCTTCTCTGTGAAAGTGTGCCATGTTTTAATTCTATACACTGTAAATGCATTTAGTGCAACTCAGCCCCTGCGACTGCAGGATGTGAAAAAGGCACTTTACTGATAGAAGAAGTTGCCTCTATTTTTCTATTGAATTTGTATTAAAATTCAGACAAGGCTGTTTAGCGTCTGTTTGGTTGTGGAGTGCTTCACTGAGTCACAGTGACCTCCCTGTTTGTGAGACCTTGAGCCAAATTCATCTAAATAATCCAGCTTGTTTGATGATAAAAACAACTATCCACCTAGCAACTGAGGACAAGAAAAAATGGGAAGCTTCAAGAGGACTGTAGGAGAAACCAAGATTAAAAAGCGTCATGATTGCTAGGAGATAACCATTGGAAATCTGTTCCATTTCTTTCTGTTTCGAGTATTTTTCAGACCTTCAAAGGTCATGGTATTTTAAATAGGAGTAGCTTCTACAAAAATACTTTTTTCTTGTGGGATGGCTCCCATGTTCCTCATCTGAAGTTCAGGGTTTTTTTTAATATGGGAATAGTTCATATAAAATCCTGTTCATTAAGAAAGTCTTGCTGTCCTGGCAAGTATCTTGTTTTTCTTCATCGCAGATGAGATATTTCCCTCTTTGCAAATGGGTTGCCTTGGGTTTTTCCTTCTTCTCTCAGTTCGCTTCACCCCTTCCTCCAGGGGCTGTTTCTTCTTTCCAGAAAGTTTTCATGCGCTGTGTATTCCTGCTATAGCTGGAAAACAATGATGATGGAAAGAATACTATTCAGTCAAATACTTTCTGAACTT